CTGTTCTGGCATTGGCACCCCTGGCGGCTCAGGGGCAGGTGCCCAGTGGACATGCACACTGACAGCCCAGAGCGGAAACGTGGCTCAGAAGTCAGGCTCTCCATGCAAAGTAAGCTTTAGGAAAACCCTACCAACCTACTTCACATGAATTCAACGTATGATTATTTAAAAATCTACCCAAACAGGGCCAGGTGCGGTGGCTCACACCTGTAAGCCCAGTACTTTGGGAGTCTGAAGCAGGTGGCTCACCTGAGGTTGGGAGTTCGAGACCAGCCTGACCAACATGGAAAAACCTCGTCTCTACTAAAAATAGAAAATTAGCCAGGCGTGGTGGCGCGTGCTTGTAATCCCAGGTACTCGGGAGGCTGAGGCAGGAGAATCACCTGACCCTGGGAGGTGGAGGCTGCAAAGAGCCAAGATGGTGCCACTGCACTCCAGTCTGGGTGACAAGAACGAAACTCCGTCTCAAAATAAAAAACAAAACACTACCCAATTTTAAGACAACTGTTCCAGTAAATATAATACAAAAACTCTAAGCAACAACAAAAAAAGCACCCTGTTATAATTGACAGCCTTTTCCCCTCCAAGGGGTCCCCAGCACCTCACGGTCCAGGACATCAGATCTGATGGTGCTGCGCGCATCCTACCCCCGCCCATCAGAGTGAGGACAAGAGCACTGAGGATACCAAGGCTGGTGCCACCTGACCTGGGATGGACCCTGGGAGCATCCTGCCCGCTGTACCCACTGCCCAGGGAGCAAGATTTGGCCAAGGTCATATGGCCAGGGAACAGGCCAGGCAAAACTCCTCCTGGCAGGCCTGGCAGGAAGCCCAAGGACCAGGCAGGATTTTCCAAGGCTCAGGGGTGCCCAAACCAAGAGCCAGCAGACAAGGCTCTGTAGCGTGAGTCAAAAAGACCAAGGACAAATCGGGGATAACTTGAGGGGGATGCTGAGGGTGTCACTGTGCCTGGCAGGCAGAAACGGGCCCCCGCCAGGGGCAGACCCCCAGCCTCCTGCCCCGTGGAAGGGACTTCTCAGCACAGCATGGGCTCAGGCCTACCTCCCCACCATCTCCACCGCCTACTCCACTCTTGTTCCCTGGGCTTTCTGGTCCCCTTGGTGCAGGACCAACACCAAGAGCCCCTGGGCCACAGCAGGAGAAACAGCCCTCAGCCTGCCTAGGCCAGCCCCCCACCAGGGCCACCTCCTCAGCCTGCACTGCCCACAGCCCTGGGAAACAGGGATTCCAACCACGTGCGGTATGAGCCGCCACCACCTCCAGGGAGCCCTCAGAGGGCCCAGGCCACTGCTTGAGGAGCAGACAGCTGGAGCGAGCAGACCTCAACAAAGGCGGACAGTGATTCAAGCATGAGCGCTCCAGAATCCAGAAACGAGATATGTTCATTCCCAAATACCAGTGGGTCCCCCTCACAGGCTGGCCACCATTCCAGACCCACCGGAGGCATCCGTGGGCAGGAGAGATCGAGCCCCTGCAGTCACAGCCAAACGGGTCCCTTCTCGGCCTCCCCTTCTGCCTCTGGGTTGAGGCCCCTCGAGTCATCGTGCAGCTGTACAGGAACCACCAGGGGCCAGGAATGAATCAGCGCTCGCGGGAGGTGGAAGTGCGTTGGAGGCCGGTGCCAGCTCCAGGCCCGCCTGCCTGTAATTACTAGGGATCTTAGCGCAGGCTGTGGGGGGCGGCTGACAGCGCCGGCCGCCCAAATACAGAGCTTCCAGGGGACCACAGGCTCTGTGCAGCCACGAAGATGTTTCCCTATCCTGGGGCCTCAAAGAAAGTCACCCAGACAAGGAGGCAGGGAAGGCAACACAGGGCAGACTCTGGCTCAGTGCAAGGAAGGACAGGAGCCAGCCAGCAGTTAGTAGCACCCCAGCTCCACAGACAATGCAAGTGTCCCCCACCCATGGTGGCAGCCGGCAGAGAGGGCCACGCAAGGCTGGATGGGGACAAGTGGTGATGTCCAGCTCTGCTCACCACCTGCCACTCCTGCAGTGATGCTGGGGTTGCTCCCCCGACCAGGACCCAGACCTGTGAACTGGGGAGAAGGACGCACCGGGCCTCAGCCTCTAGGCCAGCCCGCCTCCTGGAGCTTGGAAGGGGGATAGGCCTCTCCTGTTCAGTGGCCAGGCCACACAGCAGCCCTCCCCTGCAAGACCACCTATCCTGGACAACTCAGGCCACGGTGCCCGTGGCCAGTAGACAGGGCATGGCCCTCAGGCCTCGACCTTTGGAACCTTCAGTTGCAAACAAGACAGCAACAGGAACACAGCTCCCGGCAGCTCCCACGCACTGCCCTCCCCTCTAATGGTGGCCCCTGAAAGCCCAGGGCAGCACCGGCCTTCATTTTAACCCTGAACCTCAAGTCCACTTGGTCAGTCCCATGAGTCAACCAATCTCCCCAACGAAGGACGCCTGCTCAAGGCAAGGCCTGTGGGGACAACAGGCATGGAAAAGACACTCTCCCACTCAGCCCACAACTCCACAAGCACCACGTCCCAGAACCGCCTGGTCACATCCATTAGTAGACACGGACCTCACGCAACCACCAACGGCACAGCAGGCATGGGATGCCAAGCGAGCGCTGGACACTGCCCGGGGCCAGCAGGCATGGGACGCTGAGCAAGCGCCAGTAGAAGGGCCGCGCACCCTGGAGCCAACACTGGCAGCACAGTGCCCGGGACCAAAGCCCACAGAGGCTAGGCAGCCCATAGGGCAGCGAGACGCGGCAACTGGTCTCTGTGCCCTGGCCACCCTGCCAAGGGGACCACATCAGCACGACTCCGGGAGACGCGCACCCTGCTAAAGGCTGGCGGTGGCGAGGGCGGGGAGCAGAGAACATGACATGCACACGGGGAGAAAACACAGGCCAGGTCCACTCAGTGGCAGCAGACCCCGCCGCCCTGCGGCAAGACGGTGCCCACAGGGGCCACACCAGGAAGCATCCCTGAAAACAAAGCACCGCATGCACACGTACACACATGGACACACACGCGCACAGAGCTGGGCCCAGCACTCTGACTTCCCTCCTCCTCAGGTGCCGGGTCTGCTGCCCCCTAGGCAGGCGGCTCCAATGCCAGGAGGTGCCTGTCAGAGACCTCCCCGCACCACAGTCTGCAAATGGAGGGGACGGTGAGCTCTGCACATCCCACGAAGAAGCTGGATGTAGCAGAGAGGAGCGGCTAGGCCTGGAGCAGAAAAGCCGGCAGTGGGCTCCCCGCCACCCAGCACGTGACACCCACCACCTGGCACAAGCCCTTACCAATCACACCAGAGGCGGCAAACCCAACTGGCTCCTGGCTCCAGCAACCCTGTGGCACCCGTCTCCTCGAAGCATGACCGCGGCCCTGCCAGGCTGGCTTCCCCACCAGCTGCGAGAGTGACCAGCCAGGGCCAGGAGCCTCGGCACCACGAAGGCCGAGGCCACGGCTGTAACAGGGACCCCTCCTCCTCCCCGGATGCTCTCCCACCTCACATGTTCTAGGACAGGCTGTGGCTCAATGGCACTGTTCCCAGAGAAGGTGCTGGAGCCGCCACACTCCAGGTCATGCATGGGTCACCTGGGAGCCAGGGCGTCTCTGCGGACACAGGACTGTGAAGCAAACGCCCACCTGGCAGTCGCCTGGCACTCCGGGAGCCACAGCCAGCCAGAGAGCCAGCCCCTCAGCACGCAGGGATGCTCGGGGCTCCCGCAAGAGGGCTGCAGTTTCAGTAGCCTTAATACCAAAGGCCACTCAGTTATCTGGGGGAGGCAGATTCCAGCACCGCATCCCTCCATCTGGGCCATTACCCAGGGCTGCCTGAGCGAGGGCCCGGCCCGGGCTCCTGAGGAAGGGGTCTTCCTCGCCTCGCCCTCCCAACCCCTGCAGGGTCCAGCCCAGGTGCTGCCCCCAGAAGGTCTGAGATTGTGTTCTCTGCAAACACTGGCAAGCGTTCTCCTCCCCTCCCCGTCATTTTCCATGAAATTCCCCGAGGACACAGTTCCCAAGGGAATGGAGCCACCAGAAAAGAGGTCAAAGTCTGCGTTACAGATTCTTACAGGGAAGAAAATCAAAACTGCACTTTTTATTCTCACATTTTTAATCAGCAAGGCCAAGGACAAGCGTCCTCCTTTGCCAAGGCAAACACCACTCAGAACTGCAGTTGAGGCGATGCAAGGGCCAAACCAAACAGCTGAGCCGCATCACGGGTGACACTGAGCAGGCCACAGCCCAGCCATTCCAAGAGGCAGTGCCAGGGCTCTGCAAGCCGCCAACCCAGGCACAAGAGCGGCCCCGGAAAGGGATGCCAGAGGCAGCCCCGTCCCAGGAGACGACGGAGCTTAGCACTGCCTGGACCGGCTGGACCGGCCCAGGCGTGCACACCGGTGGCTTCAGCGGTCTCCTGACTGTGTCTCCATGTGGGCTGAGTTTCTGCCTGGCCGACACTGCCAAGGCTGCCCAACCAGTACCGGCACTACCAAGGCACCTTGAGATCCCCAGTGACAAAGCACAAAAGGTAACAGCACCAGGACTCAAAGACTCAGCAGTCAGGCACCCAGAGTGGCAGCCGGAGCCACCTACCCACAAAACCAAGCCCGCGTGTGTGCAGCAGCCGTGCAAGCCTGTCGCCCGGGCAGAGCCTTTCCAAAGTGGGTCGGCCCTTCAGACAACTCGGGCCTATCGCGCCCAGCCCTGCCAAATCAAATCATCAACCGCCACATCTTCACTTGAGAAAATCACCAATTAACCCACCCGTGGAAGACGAAAGGCAGAACCTGTGTGTTTCACGTGCTCCGGACCTGCTAGTCTGCGTCCATAGGGGCTCAAAGTCCCCAAACACTCAGTCTTAAAGAGTTTTCCTGCCACCCTCCTACCAACAGATTTCACTCAGACCCGCAGATAAATCACAGCTCCATCTAGGTGAAGGCCGACTGCCAGTTAGGAGAGTTTTATTAAGGACGACCACGGGGTCGGTCCCCCAGAGCAAAACCACTCCACGTACCCCCCACCCCGCCGCAAGTCTCACCACCAAAGTTCCTGCTTTCTGGTTTCAGTGCAGAAGCAGAGAAAACAGGAAAGATGTTCCGCCGTGGTACTGCTCTTCCACCCTCTGCAATCACGAACAAGTCGTAATGGAACTAATGACTAATAATTTAATAAACCTCCCTCCCTTGACGGCGTGCGCTTCCACAGAGCAACAAGACCAGAACCGTATGCCACAGACTCTGTGAAACCAAACCTAACCGCAGGGCCTGTGCCTTTCCCAAGCCGACTCCTCAGGTCACCCTGAATCCTGTGTACCCGGGGCTCCGACATGGCTTTAGGACTCATCTAGTCGACAGCACCTGCCTTCAGAATCCTTCCAGACGGACGTGGCCCCAACTTCACAAACTTTATTGAAAGCTATATTCAAATGCAATCTGCCCCCTGCACTCCGGCTGGAACCAGAGGGGCCACCCCAGAAGCCTCCATCTGGCTCTCCGAAGCCTGAGGGCTAAGAGCGCTTTGCAGGCCCCCGGCCAGGCACGCCTTGGCCGCCTAACACAATCAGAAACTGTTACTCTGCCGGGTAGGGCGCAATCCGGTTAGGAGGCATGAACCAGCAACTGCCGGGTAAATACCCACTCCACTCAAAGCCCAGCCTGTCACTGAACCTTCAGACAGTTTTGGAACAAAGCACATCTTTGTTGTAAGAGATCGCCTAGGACCCAGGGCCACCCAGGGCAGGGGTTTCTCCTCTGAGAAACTGCCCCTCGGGAGCTGCTGGGCTCAGGCGTGGGGGTCCGGACCGAGAATGGATGCTGAAGAAAGACGAAATCAAGGCCCTGTTCGTCTATCCCAGCCACAGAAACGACCGGGGAGGGGGCGGCAGCGGAGGCTTCCAGCGATGCTCTGCGGCCCTCGGATGTGAACCTGTCATTTCACAGACGACAACGTGGACGCCACTCTTAACACATCTGAAGCAAAGGTAGGCACGTCAGCCTCCTACACAATTAGTCGTCTCTCTCCGCGGTTACATAAGATGATGGATTATCCGTCCACCCATCCAGCCTGCCCGCGCTTCGACCTCCCACCTTAGGCCCCAGCATCGGCGCCGGGCAGGAGTTGTGGAAAGGGAAAGCCTGTTGAGAAGGAAGTGCCCGAGGCTCGCGCAACCGCGCCTGGAAAAGCTCCACGGTGCCAGGGCGCCGGCCGCGGCCTTCAGG